GCAACGAGGTAAGCCCCTTCTCCTAGACCCTAAACGCCGTCACGCCACTACTCCTTGGACAGGTGAGCGAGTAGTGTTGGTAGCCTACACTGTAAACACCCTAGTCCAGGGTTGCTTTCGGGGGAAGGTGAAAGACCACTACACCAATTTTGCCTGCTGCTCCTTGCGCTGCAAATCCTGTGCCTGCTCCTACCGTCTCCACTTCTCCTATGTTGCCCAGGCAGTGCTTGACCGCTTCGGGTTGAGACTGTGTACCTGTGGACTCCCTCCTCGGTGGTGACCTCCTGCATTGCCAGGATCCCGACCTTTCCTTGCCCTAGGTCGTCAAACAGTCTGACGATGTCGCAGATCTTTTCTGCAGCCATTCCTCCTAGGTTCCACGTAGCTGCTTCAAAATCACACGGTCCTTGCTTCCCTGGTTTACATGCTTTCCATTTGCTTGCTGTCAGTCTTTTTCTCTTCCGCTTCACAGCCATCCCTGTTCCCGTCTGGGCTTGATGCCAGTCAGGTGAGACCGCTCTGACGGATCCAGCTGTGGAGTCTGTTCTTTTGGACCCCTGGTGGTTCTCAATGTTTTCTTTTGCTTCCCTGTTCCTGCCGCTGCACTGGCATCCCCGTCGCGGACTGCCTCCACTCGGCCCAGTCGATGCTGCGCTTGTGACCTCATCTCCCTTCTGCCGGTGTCTCCTGCATGCCTTCGCCCATTCCCTTCAGGAGCAGGCCTTCTTTCCCTGCAGGCATCCCCAAAATTTGCAAGACTAATTTCCGCGCTTTTCCCATTTTCCTGACTCTTCGGAGCGGAGCGGTGCCGCCCAGCTCTGAGCCTGCTCTTCCTCTCAGTTCAGCTGTTGTTCCAGTTCCAGCACATCTCTTCTTGACCTCTTCCTCGTGGGTGCCCAGGATGGAGGCGATCTGCACGGTGTCTATCCAACCATGGCTGCTTTCCAGGTGGGTTCCACTCTTGGGCACGCTAGCACTTGCCACTCTGCGGCTTTCTACCCAGACCGTCCCTGCACGGTATTCCACTTGTACCTTCACCGTCTTTCCCAGGGTTTCCGCCGCTTCCATCACAAGGCGTTTGACTTTCCCTCCAAAGCGGGACTTCCTCCTCTGCTCGGGAGGTTCCGATATAGCGACCCAGATCTGCTTGGGGTTCCCTTTCCCGTCTTTGGCCTCTGTGTATTTGTTGTATCCAAGGGCACGCCAAGTTTTCGGAGATATTCCCGGGCCCTCGCCGTGGTGATCTCCGAGTCTTGGTCCTCGGGCCAGCCTCCGATGATGAGTGCTGGGCTTCGATTTCCGTCTTCTTGCTGCATCTGACTCACTTTCCAGATTCCCGAATTCCCTTGCTTCTCCAGAGCTTCCAGCCGGGAGATGACGTCCTTCATTTCCCGCTCTTGAGCTTGTTGGTTCTTTTCCTGAACCTGGAGCGTACTCACTATCTTCTGTATTTCCCTTCCTTGTTCCTTTTGTCTTTCGTCCAGGGTTTGGACGATGGTCAGCGCACTATCGAGTTTTTGCGACACCTGGCTTTCCACTGTCTGAATTCTTCCCTGTACTCCCTGGAGTCCCTGCAGTACAGGAGCCAACGCCAGTTGGAGGTCCGCCAGCGTGATTCCCTCGGAGGCTGCACGTCCCTCTGCTGCTTCGGCTGGCCTTTCCCGCTTCTTTTGCGGGCTTTGTCCCGTCAGGCGGTTGTCGCTCTCCGGCTGGGCTGCGTTGTCTATGTCCTCATCTACTCGGATGGGGGCCGTTCCCCCGGCACCTTTTCCCATGGCAGCCATTCTGGATCACTCCTATTTCCCTAATCACGTTTCCTGAAACAAAACCCCACAACTCCACCTTTGCAATTCCCATGCGGGTGTGACAGACCTGCCAGTCAAAAATGCTCCCCTAGACGCACCTCAACAAACAGATTCCGGATTCCCACAAGCTGGTTTGCGGGGTCTGAGCAGGAAATGTTGCACGGTGGGCCTCAAGCCGCAACTCGAAGAACAGCGTCCACCCCCCGCCAGGAGGGGCCTCTCCCCCCCCCCAGGAAGGGGCCGCGTCCAACGAATGCACCCCCCAGAAGGAGAGCGCAGGTGGTGACTTGAGCCAAAATGGCTACGGCATCATCTCTCTCTCTCTCTCTTTCTCTGGTCTTTTTCCGTTCTTCTTCTTCTGAGATGCTTTCCGCTGTACGTAATGCTCCAGGACTCCCCAGCTCACCCCGAATCCACCTGGACGGTCCGGCTAGGGAGGCAGAGCTGCGAAGAAGCAGACCTCAAAAAACAACTTTTTGGGCCCCTTTGAAGGCTTTTTCAAAGAAATGAGGGCCGTGCCTGGAGTCGATCCCCTCTATCGAAGGAACTGAGACCTGGTGGGCTCCCCGCAGCCGGTCCCGGCCTGAGATGCCACAACTCTGCAACTTTGCCACAAAACTCTCGCTTTGCCCTGCTTTGCCCTCTCTTCCGGACGAGCGCCAGGCCTCCGAACCGCGCCTCGTCGGAGTCCAGCCTCAAAGAGAAAATTCTGATCCTCAGGGCCTGATCTCCGTCTAAACATCTTTCAGCCAAGGATCACTACGCGGAGGCCCTCGTTCCATGAGTGACCTACGCGGTACTCCTGCACTCAAGTTGCATTAAGTTGCCAGTGCCAGCAATCGGCATGAGGCATCCCGGTCCGTGTAACATCTTGTTGGGTGGAAGTTGAAGGCAAAGAGGCCTCTGAAGGGTTTCGGACTGGACGCCAGTCTCTCAAACGAATGCTGAGTCAAGATGCAATCACCATGCTCAAAGATGAGCACTTTGTCAGAGTCGTCCTCGGAAGCAACTGGAGGCTTCTAGAAGAGCGCTCTTCAACCAGCCATGCCTTGCGTGAGACGAACAACTGTGCCGCCGCGAACCTCAGTACATCCACAACAGCCACGACAGCTGCGACCCGCTGCGACCCGCTGCGACCCAGGATGACTCAATTACTCAGACAGCGCTTGTAAAACAGCCGCTCGAGCGGCTGGAAGCGAGCTTCCAAGGCCAACATTGCCTCGTCAAAGGCCTGGTGACCGGTAGTTTTGTAGGTTATGCACTTGCGATTTGCTGCCAGTAGCATTGGCAGTCCTCGAGGAACTGAAGCTTCAGATTGGTCTTCGGAAGATCTAGTCGCACAAGGTCATTGCAACCTCGTGAGTCCAATTAGACGGATTGGCGATTGGAAGTGCAGAGACAAGTTTGAAGAGGCAGAGGCCCATGCCATCGGCCGAACGAAGCGATTCCGGGTGCCCAAACTCATTCCCCATGAAGTTCAAGTAGCCCTGACAGAAGTGCAAGCTGTGAAAGCTAGCTCAGAACTCAAAACGGGCCTAAACATTCGCATAAAGGCACAATGTTGTTTTTTCATAGTGTGAGGCTTTTATGACGTGGCTGGACGCGTCGAGTCGAGTCGAGTCGAGGCATCGTGTTTGTTGGCTGCCTCGCCGCCGAGGCCCAGGACCGCGAGGCCTCGACTGGAATGGAATCTAAGAGGGGAGAACACAAGTTCAACACAGGAGAAGTACTTAAGACTCACTCGTAAAACTTACACATAAAACGGACTCACAAGTCATGCTTCCCTTTTGCTTCGCTTCGTGCTTCGTCTTGGCACCAGGCGGATCATCTTGTGGAGGGCCAAGCCACGTTCTGTCACGTCACCTCGAGGACCCACGTTTGGAAACAACAATTTTTCTTCTGTTCTTTCGACATCCTTCGACTGTAAGCCGCTCGCTGCTTTTCTCGCTTCGAAGCTCTTCGCCCATCAACCAGCTGCTAAGAGTCTTGAACTCCGTGGCGGCCTTACACTCAAAGCCCGGATGTTCCAAAAGTAAAGTGCAGCGACAAGGGAGATCCTGGTCGTGAGACTCAGCGTAGGCGATGCGTGGCTCCTTGGAACAAGGGACGACAGGAGAAGGCTTCGCGAGAACTGCTCGCCAATGGCTCGCAAGCAACCAAGCGGACCAAGCGTCCTTGAAGCGCTGTTTCCTAGCAGTTGACGAAATTACAGGCCAAGCTTCATTCCCAAGCAGCTGAATTCTGAGAGAAGGGCATGGACCGGACCAAATGGCTCACGTCCCAGGCTTCGTCTGGCTCCTTCAAAATATTTGCGAATTATCTTTCAGTTTTCTTCCTTTGATGGGTGTCCTGGAGCATCTTTGTCCACATCTTTGGGCTGGAGACTGCCAAGCAGTAGTCGAAGCCTCGAAGAGACAAGCCAGCAAAGCCACCAGAAGGGAAGGCTTCAGCTGCTTCAGTTGAGCCGTGGACCGAAGCCGCCATCCTCCACAGCCCGGCAGAGCGTGGGCATCCCGGACGACTCCTCAGCTACGGCGGAGCCCCGCTGAAACACAACAACACACTACACAAATACACTACACTCATGACATCTCATTACATCATTACACCTTACACTTCCCCCCTCCCCCTTCACCACCACCACTTGTCCTCGGCTAAGGTGACCGAGGACAAGGGGAGGAGCTTCTTGATCAAGTAGTTGGCCAGCATCAGGTACGTGGAACACCTCTCAGCTAGTAACTCCAGGTCACTGCAGCGCAATGCAGCGCAATGCACAACCGAAGGGCTCGGGCTCTATATCTGAATCCCAACCGAAGTACCTGAGATCGCCGATGTGTGAGAGAAAGAGCCTGTGTTTTTGTCTCAGCTCGTTGAGGCGGTTGCTCCTTATAGCTTCCGAAGCTCTTGCTGATGCCGTGGGAATTATACCTCCCGCACAAGTTCCGGCTCACTCTCCAAGAAGAAAAGAGAAAATAAGAGGGAAAGAGTCCCCAAACCCCTACCCTTCCTTCCCTTCTTCCTTCCCTTCTCCCACTTTAATGGGCCGAGGGGCAGCATGCTCGTGACGCCTGCGAAGCAGAAGCCGTCGAAGCCGTACTCCTCCGATTTGCGTTGTCAGTCAATAAACACGTAAAATTTCACTCATTAGTGTAGCGTAATTCTTCACGTAAATGCACTCTAATGCTCTGTGAACTCTGCAACTCCTCGAGCCACCAACGCAGGTTGGAGAGGAGGAACCGCAGCACCTCACAACTCCACGCAGCCACGATCTCCTCCCTCTTCCTCCTGCCTGCCTGCCTGCCTCGTACTTGCTGTAGTCGAACAGTGCTGCACGTGACTGCTCCTCTGATGATCAGATTTGCCCCTTGTAGCTGTGTGAAAAGGCTGCGACCCCTCCTGCCAGCCCTTGCTGCCTGAATGCCTTTGCAATGCAAGAAATAAACGCCAAAAAGATTGTGGGGAGTCGATGCCGAGGTTGCGTTGCATGAGCTGAAGCTGCGGCGTGTAGCAGTCGCTGCCATCCATGGACGCAAGGCCGTCCAGCCTTGCAAATGACGTCATTAACCACCGTCCCACATCACTTTTACAATTACCTTTCCCCTCCGCACGTGTGATCAAGGACGTACTTGCATTGTTAGGCGATGTCAAACAATGTGATGGACATTGTCTACAAGATTATAAGCATCGCAGTTGTTGGACAGTACTTGCCCCTGTCAGTGTGAAGCCTGGGCCCCAGCCGCAAATCAGTCACCGAAGACTTTCTAACAAGGCCGCTTCATGCAGACCAATCACGGAGAGCCCGTTTTTTGCCTTTTTTTCTGTTTGAGCACAAGCCCTCAGCGGCTTGTCTGCAGCCTAGGCGGCCCCTGGCCCATCGTTGTTTTCTGTTGCTCGCAAAAATCTTGTAAGTAAGGCGGTTGCTTGACTCTTCACTTGAAGTTTGAACCTTACTTCATACAAACGCAAAAGATCTAAGGCAGAAATCCCTGCTTATGTTTGCTGGTCTCTTCAAAGCCTTTTCCTGTCAGAACTCACAGGCACATACTCAGGTGAAGAGGTTTTTAAAATCATAAATTTGAAGAAACCTGTATTCAAAACCTTCCCTGCGAGTTGATTCTAACGCTGCTCCCCTGCAGGCTTCGCGGTGTTGGACAGCAGGTTTGTCAAGTTTCGCTGCGCACGCGGGGCTGAAGCAGCATGTGAGGGTTGCGTACAATCCCAAGTAGCACAGCGTGTGAAGCAGACATTCATTCATGTGTGCAGGAATATGGAGACCGAAGAGCATACACCATGGGCCGTGTGCACAGGCGTCACCTTGATTTTACTGTTGAGGATTTGCAAGCAAGAAGATCCTGCGGATGTTTTACATGCTTTCTGGTGTGTCAGCCTTAGTTCTCTGGACGAGGCACATTTCTGTTGGTGTCTGCCTCAGCAGGACAGTGGGGCCATGCGGTCTGGATATGCCTTGTTGGCGAAGCATTGCCCTACAGGCAGGTGTTACTGAAGTGAAGCAGGAGTGTCCAGTAGAAGCGACAGTGAACATAGAGGCCATGGCAGCATGGACAACTCTGGTGGGTCGTTCGGCTCGCGGTTTTCCATTGGCATTTCTTGGCAGCGTAGCCAGTGGTGCTGAACAGCCTCTCCGTGTTGCAGTGCAGCAAGCTTTCGCGACAGTACTTGTTCAGGCAGACAGCGGGCTCGAAGACATAGCCTCAGCACCTGAATATGCGCCAGACATCTTCATGGATTCTGTTAACTGAGACACGCTACAAGTTGTGGAGGATGCGAGGTCTCGGAATATATTTTGCAATATGATCGATCCGTGCATGGATGGAAAGCACGCATCGGGGAGAAGCCGCAGTGGCAGCTCGCGGCAGTCGATGTCAAAGAGGACTGATATGCTGGCTGCCTTGTAATTTTGTTTTTGCCGGCATGACTGCAACCAAACCGCAATTTATTGCGTCTGTGTAAATTGTTAGCAGGCACAATCCCAACAGCGGTGTGCCCCATAGCTGGACACAAATCTCGGGCATGCCCTCCTTTGGTGCAGAAGCTTCTGAAGGCAGTGCAAGCCATGCAAAAGAGAGAAGCAGAGGCCGCGGCAGTGCACGAAGGAACCAGGTCCTTCTGTGTTCAGGGAGTTCAGCTGCGCACCGGGTCGAGGAAGGCCGCCAGCCGCCAAGCAGGCCGAACACCGAAGAGTCCGAACTGTCCACCGCGGCTCACGTGCTGCGAAGCTCGTCTCGTAAGGCTTCGACTTTTTGGTGAGGGCAAGTGGTTCACGGAGCAATGTCGCACGGAGAAGACGGGTGGAGTTTGTTTTTGTGACTTTTGTTTTTTTTTTGGGCCTCTTTTTTTGTGGGTTGCGGGCCTGGAATCGAAGGACGCCTC